AGAGGAGGACGAGAAACAAGGAAGAAAGAAACAGGAAGGAAGAGAGCGGAGGATGGCCCCAGGATCGCTTTTCAGAAAACTCTTGGAGTCGGAACCTTGGGTTTTTTTTTCATAGAAAAAAGCTGATTCGTTTGAGTCGTTTTCAATATTGCATGTAGGGGGGAGGGTGTCCACGGTGGGCACCTAGCGGGGATACAAAAAACGGGAATGAACAAGTTTGGGGAGGAAGGGGAGAAACGAGAGGAGGAAGAAGACAAGGCTGGAATGGTGAGAATCCCAAAGCCCTGCCACACGCTCGTGATTGCGGAAGCTGAAATGGTGAGACAACCTTTGCCATGCTCAGCGTTTTTGATATTGCTGCTCGTCAACATCGCCCCAGGATTATCAATTTCGGCACCGCCTCCCCTTTTCCACAATTAGATATTATTGGCACGGGCTACTACATATTCAGAGGTTAAGGGGGGGGTGATTCATTATCGGGGGGCACTCGGTTATCTCAATCTCTCTCTCTCTCTCTCTCTCACGTTTTTTTGTGTTCTCTCTCTCTCTCTCTTTCTCTCTCTCTCTCTCTCTTTCTCTCTCTCTCTCTCTCTCTTTCCCGGGGAGGAGGAGGAGGAGGAGGAAGAAGAGGAGGAGAATGTGGGGGGGGAAAGGCGAATGACCACGAGGGGAGGGCCCCCAGAGGCTCCCTCCTCTTCTTTTTCTTTTTCTTGTTCCTCCCTCCACGTCTTCCTCCTCCTCCTCCTCCTCCTCCTCCTCCTCCTCCTCCTCCCCCTCCCCCCTCCTCCTCTGAGGGGCAACGATAAGGGGGGATGGGCATAGGGGGGGATGCATCGACCTGGAATCGGCGATACATCGCCGATAAATCGGCGATAGGCCTCCGATATTGAATCCGCACCTTCCTGGGCAGGTCGGGGCTATCGGACCCCTATCGGCGATCAATGGGCGATTGGGGGTCGATGCATCTACCCCTATGCCTATCCTCCCCTATCGTTGACCCTGATCCCCCCTTTCCTTTCCCAAGTGTTTCCTCACATCGCTGCACAACGGCTGGGGGAACACATCGCCACCCCCCCTCTAGGGAAACCACAAGGTACTGATACCGCTACTGCCCGGAGCTCTGCTGGGGTGCTTTCCGACTCGAGCTCTGAGGCGAGCGACGAGGGCATCCGAGGGGCCCAAAAGGCGAAAACGGGGATGGGGTAGCCGCATTGGTACGTTTTCCTCCTCACCACACCCCCCGACGTCGTGATGATCTTTGTCATAGTGTCGACCCCTAGACTTCTCGACCCATTCCCCGGGCCGGTTTCTCATCCTGCGTCGTTTCTTGACGGTCCCGAGGCCCGGCGAGGGCCCCCGGAGGCCGAAAATGAAACAAACGGTCCGTCGTGATTGTTTCATCGCGCGAGGGGGGTCTGGGTCTGGCCCCCGGAGCCGCGCGAGCAGGTCCAGTACCAACGCCCCCGTGGCGTCGGAGCGCTCGCGCCCCGCCCGCGCCTCGCCCTGCAGCGAGGCAAGGCGAAGCTGCAGCGCGTCGGCCTCCTCCTGCGCGTCCTGGAGGGCACCGCGCAGCCTCGGGCGGCTCGCGGGGGGAGCGTTAGGTCGGGCATGTCCTCCAGGCGAACGTGGGACGAAAAATGCAAAATTGCTCTTCGTGTGTAAAACAGCCAACAATAATCCAAAAATGATGGAAAAGTCGTCCCCAGGCTATTTGGCTTGACGATTCATGAATTCCGTCTGTAGAAAGATATGCCCGACTTCATGGCAGCGCCAGGAACCTCGAATACATGAGCCCGAAGTCGCGATGTTCCGCGATGTCGGAATTTCCTCGCGACGTCGGGGGAGGGGAAGCACGAGGACGCTCAGGAAAAGAGGATGCGCAGCGGCCACCACGGGACGAGAGCCTGCGCGATCCTGGACCGGCCTCGGGCAGCTGCACAATGGGAGGCACAAGGACACACTAGTACCCTACTTCCTCCTTGGAGGCACGCATCCGACCCGAACATATAGTAGACCCATCTTGTGGTACATCGTCTCCCGAGCGGCGTGGCCAGAAAACGCCCACCACGGCGCTTGCACTATAAGACTTCTCGGCGCGCGCGCTGCCCCTGGGGGGCGACGCACATATAGTATAAATATGGTGGGGTGACGCCGACACAAGGCATGCAAACAGCAGGGGAGGAACAGGGAGGATAACGAAGGCAACGAGCATGAGCAATAGCGGAAGGAGAAGGACAGCCTGCAGAGGAGAAGCGATCGGAGGAGGGCGGCGAGGAGCATCAGCACGAGTCCCGAGAGCACGGAGCCGTGGGGCGAGGAGCAGAAGCACGAGCCCAGAGAGCCGACGTCATCACACCACTGCAACGTCACGAGAAATCAGGACCGCGGATCCCAAGGCACCATGAAAATAGGTTGGAAGTCTCTGGGTGGGCGCCGTTGTTCCCCGGGCCAGGTCCCGAGACGCTCGGCCGGCGCTCTTGATCCGCCAATGGCAATCCTCATGGCACCCACTCGCGAGAAGCTCTGATCTTAAGCTTGCTCTTGCCGCTTGCCGACGATTCGGCTGCATAGATTTGCCCTTACCCCGCGAGCATTACCACCTCCTCCGTCGCCCCAGAAACGCAGATCGCGCTGGCTGCCCCTCAGCGAGCTTCAAAACATACATTCAAAGATCGGTGAGCGCACGGGCATCAGGGTGAGCGCTCCAAGCTGACCTGGCGCCCACCCCTCGTCCACCTGCCAGCCCTCTCGGCGCCAATGGCCTCCATAGCCTGTGGCCGCGATAAAATGTGGACACCCCGCCCACGGGCGGGGTGTTTCTTGCAGCAGAGCAGGGGCGATCCAGCTCCTGTTCGGCCTTCGGTTGCGCCCATTGGTCATGGGGAGGCCTGGCGGGACCTCCCCAATCTCCACGGCGCGCCATGGGATCCCGAGCCCTGGGGGGGCGGTGAGGAGAAGTAAGGAGGGGAGGGAGGAGCTGGAGCAGCTGAGAAGGGGCGGTCGGGCAGGAGGGGAAGAGAAGGGGTGGTCGGGCAGGATGGGAAGAGAAGGGTAACGGCAGTCGGCGCGCCGAGGCGGGGGGGCAGGATGCGCCAGAGGGACGGAGGAGGACGAGGAGGAAGGACGGAGAGGAAAGACGTAAAAGGGAGAAGAAGGAGAGGAAGCTCAAGCAATCCGTCGGCCCACACCGATCTGACAATCGTATGACGTCAGATCATTGTCAGATCATTGATCCGACAATGATCTGACGTCAGATCATTGTCAGGCCAAACTTGGTATTGCCAGACCAAACTCTTGTTTCATTGTCAGATCTCCCCCCCCGCTGTCGACGAACCCGCGACCGATCTGCGACTGACTTGTTACCGACCGCGACCGACTCCGCGACCGACATGTTACCGACCGCGACCGACTGCGACAGCCACCGATATTTCCGCGACCGCTACCGACATTACCGACCCACCCTGAGCGCTACCGTTGCGACCGGTCGCGCCTGGATAATTCCGGGAATCAGTGATCTGGGCGAGGGGGTCTGGGAGATGGCCGGGCCCCGGGACCGTCCACAAAAGGACTCGGGATGGAAAGCCAGCCCCGGGGGAACGGGTCGGAACTCCCCGTGCCATTTTTTGTTCCCCTTCTTGTTCACCGACGTGCGGAGCCCTGTGGCAAGAGGTAGGGAAAGAAGGCGCGCAGGGAGGGGAGGGAAGGGGGGAGGGGGAAGAAGAGGAGGAAGAGGAGGAGGAGGAGGACGAGGAGCAGGAGCAGGAGGAGGAGGAGGAGGAGGAGGAGGGGGGGGGGAGGAGGGGGAGGAGGAGGCTCCGAGGATCGGAGCTCGAGGACCGAAGATCGGGAGTCCTGAACGTTTCAGGACCTTGTCGGCGCTCGAGGAGCGCCCTCGCGGCTGCGGCTGCGATCGCCTCGGACTTCTGACCAAAACGTCCCCCCAAGAGAGGTCCAGAGGCCTCGTCTGACCCCCGACCGGGGGCAGCGAGAAGCGGGGGGCGGGGCTCTCGGGGCGGTTCCTCGGACGTGTGCGTGGGCTCCTGGAGAGGAGGAGGAGGAGGAGGAGGAGGAGGAGGAGGAGGAGGAGGAGGACCAGTGCAAATCCAAGCCTCACCAACGATGTTGCAATAAACCCTCCCTCCTGATTCCTTCTTCACGACATATCCTTACAGTGATTGATTTTCACTGGGGAAGCTTCCTGTTGGAGGACAAACGTCTGAAAATCCTGAACCGTGCCAAAACATACTTTTCCTGGGACTTCAACGCCGCGAATCAAGATTTCAGTTGCGTTCTGACGATCCTGAATCGTGCCAGAACGCATTCCTGGGACTTCAACACCGCGAATCAACGTGACAGTTGCAGCTGACAGTCCTACATCCTGCCAAAACACACTTTCTGGACCGTCAACCATCAAATTGCTTGAAACTGCTGTACACGTTTGACACACATGCGCGCGACGCTAAGGCGAGACCCGCATTTGAAAATGAACCGCCCTCCATCCGTAAATAGATTGCAAACTGTTGCGGCGAATGCGCGCGGCGCTGAGGCGAGAACCACATTTTGAAAACCACCCGCTGTCAGTGTGTGACACCCTCGCGGACTTCTGATAAGACGAATGTGCGCGGCGCTGAATCGAAAACCCAGTTCTGAAAAGGATCCGTCCTTCACCCGCGAAGGAAAAATTGCGACGACTGTGCGCGGCGTTACAGCGCGAGCACCATTTCGAAAACGACCCGCCCTGCATCTTTGAAACATTTGCAGATTTCAAGCTTCAGGGTATGAGTAGCGGGGAAGTCTCCAGCGAAACGCTCGGCCTGCCCTACGGACACGCCTCGTGGTGCGACAGGGAGGAATTACTGAGAAGGGAAAGGGTTTAGAGGAGGGGAAAGAGGAAGGAGGAAGAGGAGGAGGACCAGTGTTAAGCCCGGGACGTGAGAGATCAAGGAGTTGTAATCAGAGTGAGGATGCCGAACAATCTTAGAACACCCGTGGGTGCGTGGATGGAGCGGGATTCCGTGGTCTGGGTTCTGCTTGTCGTCGTCGTCGTCCCCGCGACCCAACCGCGACCCTCCCCGCGAGCCACACCGCGACCCTCCCCGCGAGCCACACCGCGACTCACCCCACGACCCACCCCGCGCCCGCCCCCTCCCTCTTGTCAGCAATTGAGGGGCGCTCGGGTTAGACCCTCCCCCCAAGCTCCCTCTTGACAGGGCCCTACAGTCGGGGCGTTGACCTAAGGAACCCTAGATAAGGAACGAGGCCCCTTTTCCCCATAAGTTAAACCTCGATTTCAGATCGAAGACCTAAGGAAAACCCGATGCAAACTTTGAAACAATCAAGGAACACCGAGCCCCTCCCCAACAAACAGGGTTCCTTCTCCAGCGCCCCGACTGTACAGCAAATGGCTGCCATTGCGAGATGCGCCCCATAGAACAAACAACCGTCTTTTTTTTCTCCTCCGGCAGAGCACGATGACTCCAGCCAAACCAGCTCCGACACAGCCGGCGTTCAACTGTTAAAGCAGTTTGCGCCCAAACTGGCGTTAAAGCTGTTAAAGCAGCTTGCGCCCACTTCTACCTCAACATACTGGTGCTATATATCCCCCGAAATATCAGCGCGCAAGAGACACCGGGAGAAAGGAGGGAGCAGGAAGGAGAAACCAGGAAGAACAAACAACCGTCTGAGGATCCTCGTGGCAGAAGACCGCTTCTGGGACTTCCACGCCGCGGAGCAACGTTACCGTTGCGCCCTGACGATCCTAAGCCGTGCCAGAACATAGTTTCTGAGACGTCCAAAACCACCAATCAACGTGACTGTTGCGTTGTCGCGCTGGGGAGGAGGAGGAGGAGGAGAAGGACGAGGATGAGGAGCAGGAGAACCAGCAGCAGGACGAGAAGGACAAAGAAGAGGGAGCGACAACGGGACAGGAAGAGGAGGAGAGGTATCATGGTAGGAGGAAGGAGAGAAATATGATGAGGAAACGGAGAAGGAGAAGAGTAGGGGCTGAGGGACGGACAGAGGAGAGGGACGATCTGGAGGTCGTCGTGGATGAGGAACAAGCCCACGACGACGGCGGCGGTGGCGGCGGGGAAGAAGGCGAGGAGGAGGACGAGGAGGAGGAGGAGGAGGACGAAAGCAACCACGGCGGCGAAGGGGCAACCTTGGCACCAGAGCATCGGCCGGCAGGTCGCCGGCCGCAATCCCGGCGTCGGCCAGCTCCCGGGCGAGCTCCTCCGCCTCTCGTGGGAGCTGCCTACACCCGCCTCCTCGTCCCTCCTCGTGTCTCCTCGGCCCTCCTCGCCCCTCTTCGATGAGGAAGGAAGAAGCACACACACACATCAACTTTTGGCGCTCCGCCCGGGTTTCTTGGACCCGCGCCGGGACCCCCTCCCTGGCGCGCCCCGCGCGCCAGGAGCGGCGCCGGAGACGCCGCCGGGGCCCAGCGCGGATCGAAGAAATCCGCGCGGAGCGCCAACATCCGTCGCTTTGCGTTTTGTCGCGTCTTTTCGCGTTGTTTGTGTTTTGTCGCGTTTTTTTGTGTAGAGTTTTGTCCCGTTTTTTGCGGCAGAAAATCCCATGTTGAGTTTTGTGGTGTTCTTTTTGTACGATCTCCTTCCTTCCCGTGCCGCCCACCCCGAGATCCTGGCGCCGTCCCTGTCAGGAAGCAGCTCCTGGGAGGTCTACGCGGGAGGGGATGCAGGGCGATCGAGCCTATCGAGATGTCTACGAGAACCAGATTACCTCAGAGTCGCCCCCCAGGATTAAGCCTGAATAGACCAAACTCAGCAAGTTTAAGCAGAAGCATTGTGGAACGGATGTGCCAACGCCGATGCTGAAGTTGACATCCCAGAAAATGCACCAGTTGTCTGGCAGCGGACGAGTTTGCCGGCTTTCCAGTCCTGGAACCCTCACGGATCGATCCAGCTCGAATAGTGCCGCAGAAAGATGGGGTCTATCGTTCCAGCCTTCAGGGGAGAAAACGATTGGAGGAGGGCGACGAGGGCGAGGCGGAGAAGTATGAGGCCATAGGGCGAGGAGCACCAGCACGAGCCCTGAGAGCCGTCACGACATAAATGCAACGTCACGGAAAATCAGGACCGCGGTTCCCAAAACCCCAACTTCCTGCGGCATTTCTCGAGCTCGATCGATCCGTGATGGTCCAGCGTCTCGACACTGGGCGAAGACGCGTGTTGCAAACGACTGTCGCGACGCCAGGGTCTCAGGAAGGCCCATAGGGCCCCCGACATCAGGATGGTTTCGAAACGTCCACCCCCAAACGTCTCGACAACTCCCCTGGCACCAGCTTTCTATCCCGAGTCCTCTTTAGGCAGTCCCGAGGCCTGGCGAGGGCCTCCAGAGGCACGACTTGTCAAAAGCCAACCGCCGTGACTTCTCGGGGCCGAGGAAAGGCTTGGCGGCGCGCGCAGAGGGGGTGGCGTCATGAGGGGGGAGGAGGAGGAGGAGGAGGAGGAGGAGGAGGAGGAGGAGGAGGAGGAGGAG